GGGCGGGGGGTGGGAGTGGGGTTGGGGTTCTCTTAAATGAATAGAGGATGGAGGGGGAGGTGAAATGAATAAAGAAGACAAAACAATAGGGAAAAGGCAGTTCAAAACGGAACAAAAAACTGTGAATTTTAAATGCCCAATACATTTTAACCTCAGTTAAGCTTAATATTTATCCAAATCATTTATTAATTAAACCAGTTGCACACATAGTTCCATCAGGTTATTATATAATTTTTTTTTTGCTTAAATTAAGCTATAATTACCATTTATTACGTAGACGGACTGTGCAGTACTCAAACACCACTTCATCCATTAATGAACATTTAATTAGTGTTTGAAAAATGCCCTTTTCTATTCCAGTGTGAACACTCTCAGGATGAAAAGCTCAGACGTTGTGAGCCGGACCCCCTCTCAGGTCCCACGTCAGTGACCTCGGACCTCACAAATGAACAAATATTCCCACAGACAAAACAGTCTTGTTGGAAGACGCTTTTATTGCTATATCCATAATTTATCTTGCTGTAAGGTGTCCCAATATAATACAATACAATAATGAGGGCCATGTCTGCGCATAATGTATGCATCGGTAAAGGTTCTTAAAATGAGTTTTCTCCCTCGCTATTTCCGGTCCTAATTCTACTCGATTAACCTTGAGTTTGTGCTTGCCATCCCCCACTCATGATGTCGTCATACACTAATAAGCTTTCATGTTGGGCCCAAGGCTACAGCTATTGAGATATTTGGCCAGAGGGTGTTTGAATTTTAATCCCGCTCCGGTGTGACATCAATTCCCGTATATGTTACGTGTCTTCAGCACTTAGCTCTGTTTGCAGGACAACACCGAAAAGGTTGGGGACAGTGTCAAAGCAGTGAATGACGAGCCAGGGACCCACTTGAAGGTGGCGAAGGTACAAAGCTTCGCTCATCGGAGGATTTCATCAGGTGTATTTAATTATTGACAGCTTACTCTGCTTCTCATACACGAGGCCACTGTCAAAGGGTCTATCAGCTGCCCTGAGGCTGCCTCATCCATTTCAGCCTCCTTGTCAAAGCCTCATCAAGTACCATCACCCCTTCTGGATTGCTCCACCACCATGGCCCTCAGCGCGAAGCAGACCACTCCTAAGGAGCGTCGTGATTGGCGTGCATCCACTTCAGCGTCTGACCCTCTTAACTGTCCCGTTGTGGCTGGCAAAGAAACCGCTATAGAGATTTTTAAGGGAAACTTGGGCCTGGGTCTCAGCATTGTTGGAGGATGTGACACTCTGCTGGTGAGAGTGATGATTAATAATTAAGTTGTCACCTCTTTTAAAGTGTTCTTTTTTTTCTTCCGAATAGGAGGCACTGATGTCTGCCTTGAAGCACCTCCAACTGCAATAAAGTTGTAAATGTATTTTTCTAATATTATCCACTAGGGGTCAGTAATAATCCATGAGGTGAATGATGGAGGAGCAGCGCAGAGAGATGGAAGACTGCAGGCTGGGGACCAGATATTCGAGGTAGCATCAACAATTATATGCGACACTTGAAAGTCAGTCAAATTAATACAAACTGTGCCTCAAAAACATCCAATTAACTTAAGTGAAACGTGCCTCTGCTTGCGCAAAATGTGTTTATTTTGTGTGACTCATCCAGTATTCCACAGTAATGCACATTGTTAGTGGCAAGTCTCAAAGTACACAGATTTGTGTCTATTATTGATATTTAGACATTTATATGATTAATTGCACCTATATTTATTGTATTTAAATCAAACACAAAGCTTCCATTAAGTCTACTAGCTTAATTCCAACGCTAACACGTGAACGAAAAGAGTGCATTTAGACAGAAAGAATAGTCATACTCACAGTCATATATTCTTGATCCTCTGCAAAGAATGACGAATACTACCATTCTTACGAACTCAGAGGAGTTGAGATGGCTCAATGACTTCTGATATCACGGTATGTTTTGATAAAGTACAATCATATGGAGTTCTATATTCATCATTAAAATTGGGATACATTGGAAATTAATTTCAATGAGATTCTTGGATTATTGGAAAGTTGAGTGTTTTTACTTCAGCTTCGTGGTCACAGAACGGATTAAATTTATATCTCAAAGTATCTAAAGGCACCTTTGCACTTTGGTAGTGAATGCAAGTTTTAAAAAATCCACAGTGCCATCGTCCCTCTGTAATGTCTTTCTCCCTTTGCTTCAGGTCAACGGGATTGACCTGAGGCAGGCCACTCACGACGAGGCCATTAGTGTACTGAGACTCACCACCCAACGCGTTGAGCTGCGTGTCTTCAGGCCCCAGGCGGCCTACAGGGAGGAGGACCTGTGGGATGTTTTCAGTCTTGTCTTGAGGCCACATCCTGTCAAGGGCCTTGGCTTCACCACTGTGGGTAAAAGGTACAGGATGCCGAACAGTATCACACTGCCTCAATAAACTTAAAACAATGTATATGTTGACCATGTTCACTTTTTTCACAATAATTCAGTGCCATTCAAAAGACAGTTAACAGTTTCACTTCAGCTGTTACTCTACTGAAATCTCAGATTTTGTTGAAAAAAAAAAGGTACGACTTTCAGAAAGACTATTATAAAAAAAAAAGGAAGGATACCTAATTGGATACGTTGTGGTGATTGACGACCACACGTCTCCAGTAGAAATGGTGCTTCTTTATGATATTTGGACCTGATTTCTTGTCTGAAGTAGTTTCTCACCTTTGACGGGGACTTTATTGATCCATGAAGGCAGGTGGAGGAAGTTTTCATGTTGATGCTTTCAGTTGATGGATGAGGTTATTTTTTTCATGTTGTGAATTTCCCGATGATGTCACATGTGATGTGATGAATGATGGCTCTGACCTAGGAAAAGTATTGATAAAGGTGTCATCATGTGGAATTGATCCATGCCTGTCAGTGTGTAGCCTCACTTTCAACGACTGTACTGTTTGTTCTCTTGTTTCCTTTACCTTTCTATATTACACAGTATGGTAGATAACTATTTTAATTAACAGTTTATATTTGAAATTTTAACAATTACATGTTGATTTTAGAAAACTATGCTGGTCTACTCTTGCGACTTGAACATGAGATCACATTTGATGACCAATTTAAAACCATGTCATTTCAAACGGTTCACATACTTGTTCTTGCAATTATTTTTGAAGAATTTTTTGAACTGCCCTTTCCAATGATGCAGTGAAGTTATTTTGTCATAAATTATAATGTCAGATGAATACTGGGAACATAGATATTGACGTGGATTGTGTACCTGATATTGTGGCTGCTAACATGCATTAGCATAGGTGTACAATATATGTATAAGGACGTAATGAAATCACACAGTTGCAGCATCCTCTAATAACCATAGCAGTGCGAGAGGCAGTTCATAGTCACACTATATTACTGACATGTGATAAATTATTCTTAATGAGTGCTAATTTTTATGGTTCTTCCTGTACCATAAGTGTGACATGATGCAAAACAGCCAGCTTTCAGGTCCCGTCGTGTGTTCTCTTTACGTGCGACAGACACAGCGTTGACCTCTGTTTTCTTCCAACAGTAATGACACCGGCATCTTTGTGTCAGATATCATCAAAGGAGGCGTAACGGATTTGGATGGCAGGTTGATGCTAGGTGACCAGATTCTGTCAATCAACGGGGAGGACATCCGTGCAGAATCACAAGACCTTGCCGAGAGGCTTCTGCAGGTAAGGCAGATTTCAACTTGCACGTGAGATTACCTCTGTGTCAAAACCATACTTTTTGTTTGTTTCATGTCACAGAATTGCTGTGGTGTGTTTCACCTAGAGGTGGCTCGTTTTAAAGCCGGGTTGCCATACCCTGAACAGAACCAGGTAAACTGTTTGCTAACCCAACTTCTGTGATTCTTATTGAATGAAACCAGTTTTGTTATTAGGTCATCGAACCAGTTTTGTTATTAGGTCATATTCTGAATCATCTTTCTAATTTGAAATATGCCTGCAGTTTTTGCATTAACCTCATGCAATATTTTAACAATGTTGCTTTGTGAATGTAGGAGTACTTTAAGTTGTGCTTTATCCAGAGTGAAGACTCAGACTGTTCCACCCTGACACCCTCAAGCAGTTCCACTGCTTGTGTCGACCAACAGAGGGAGGCAGAACACAGAGCAGGGTCCCACAGTGAGTCCGATGTTATCTTTGTCACGGTAAATTACAATATGAATGATCTGTGTTTTAAAAAGGATTTTGAGAAGGCTGAAAAATGAAAAGGCACCATGATAACTTGGCTCGCTTTCAGCCCCGACAGCATTTGAAGACAACCCTGGCTACAGAAAAGTAGTTATTAAAAAGGTTTGTGGCTCTTGAATACATTCGTATTTGCAAGTGCTTCATAGTGTGCAAGAGAAACTTTAGACACATTTGAAAGTACTCTTGGTGAGCATAGCAGAGTCAATAATGTGCTCAGTGAAATAAGTCCAACACTATGCACATCATGTGTGCCTGCGCGTGTGTGTGTGTGTGTGTGTGTGTGTGTGTGTGTGAGTGTGTGTGTGTG